GCCCGGGGAAGGCTGAGCCTGGCTGTGCAGGCCCCCGCGGCAGCGGGGGGGGTAGGGCGCTGCTGGCCGGCGCTGTGGGAGTTAACGCGGCCCCGGCCCGGGTGGCCGCTGCAGGGTGGCCACTGGGAGCTGCTGCAGCCCACGATCCGGGAGCCCCCCATAGGTTGGCACCCCGGGCAGCTGCCCGGCTAGCCCATTCCTTAATCTGGCTCTGGCAATATCCCCCTGGTTTCCCTTCCCCGCGGGCTCCTTCAGCCACACTCTGAAAATGTCTCCCCCGGAGTTCAAATCTGGTACATTCAAAGCTTGGTGGCACAACATGCTGGTTACCACCCGGCAGGGCAGTCCTGCCCCCGCTGGCAGATAGAGGAGGGGGTACACACTGCCAGCCTTTCTAAAGCACCCAGCAGTCCCTATGGCAACACTAAAGGCCAGGGGCTCAGGAGAGCCCAGGACATGTCCCTGCAGCCAAGGCGAAGGGCAAAGGCCCGGCTAGCAGGCAGGTCTTGAAAGCAGGGACTAGTCTTGGTCAATGGTCAGGACAACACCCGGGGGAATGTGACCGGGAAGCCCCCCCCACCTCAATCATGTGGTGCAGGGACTTCTCGTGCATCTCCTTGAACACGCGCGACACCATGATCCTGATGAGGGTTCTGTCATCGGTGCCAAGGCCCTGGCAACGCGCGCGGGGAGAAAACACACTGAGCAAAACGGGCAGGGCAGGGGCGCGGGGAGAGGGATCCCTCCCACCGTTCCTCCCGCCGAGACGGTGCACGGGATGCCGAAATCGGTCTGCCCAGGGACGCGCACAGCAGTGACACTGTATCTGACACAATGCGGGACAGGGCCATCGCTCCTGGACGGGTGCTTCCCCAGAGCCCACGCAACCGAAAATCCCAGCCCCGGCTGCAGGGCTGCCCCGGCTCCAGTCAGCCTGCAAAATGGAACACCGTTCCTCCCGCCGAGACGGTGCACGGGATGCCGAAATCGGTCTGCCCAGGGACGCGCACAGCAGTGACACTGTATCTGACACAATGCGGGACAGGGCCATCGCTCCTGGACGGGTGCTTCCCCAGAGCCCACGCAACCGAAAATCCCAGCCCCGGCTGCAGGGCTGCCCCGGCTCCAGTCAGCCTGCAAAATGGAAACCTGGTTGCCATGGGAACTGCAAATGGAGTTTGTCTTCACCTTCATTGAGTCGTAGAGCTTGTCAGCAAAGAAAGCTGGCTTGTCCTTGACACTGCGAACTGCAAGCGGAGAGAGGAGAGACCCCGTCTGGAAACCGCACCAAGGACCGTCAGCAACCAGCCCCGCCCCACACAACAGCAAGAGCGCTACGGCTCCAAGGCACCCCCGTGGGGCTGGCATGGGGGAATCATTCCCCACAGAGGACAGCCCCTCAAACAGATTTTGCCTGGGGAGTGGCTATTTCCAAGGGAGCAACCCTCCCCGAATATTAAGGGGGGCTGGACAAGAACTCAAAGGGAAACCTGATCCCACTCAAATCAATGGGAAAACTCCTACTGACTTCAGC